GGACAGGGGCGCATACGTCTGGGAAAATGTTGCCGGAGGGTGATCTGGTATAGACTTAAAGTGAGCGTGAGGAGGGCGTCAGAGGTAGGTTCTACGTTTCCCGCCCTTTTTGTTGTTTTATCTATCTTATCTATCCCTTGCATTAAATGACCTTTTAGTGCGTGGGTTTTTTTCTTCTTGGAGTCTGTTGTGTAGTTGATAGGCGCTTCGCCGACGCATGTAGGTGACCCGAGCCCGATTCTCATGTGGGGAAACATCTTGGTCTTTCTGCTGCTATGTTGGCAGGGTTTCCCATCTTGTGTCTATGGGGCGTAAACAGGTCTACATTAGAAGGAAAAAGATGTGGTGGGTGGCAGGGGGGGGGGGTAATTCCAGGAACATTTTTTAAAGAGGATGATCTAGTACAGACTCAGAGTGGGCAACTGGAGGACGCCATTGGCAGGTCCAACATTTTCCCCACTCGTTCTGCTATTTTTGTCTGATTGTCTTACTATCCCTTGGCAGTGAAAGAAAATTATTGTGCATCTTCAGTCACCTTTTCACTATTCTTCGAGCATCTAGTCTTCTCGAATAAAGACGAACAATCTTGAGGGTCCGGTGTGTACGTTGGGCACGTTAAAGATCTCTTGGTAGTTGAAAATCGTAGAAGTGTTTTCCGTTAGACCGCCACGCGTGCAAAATTCAAAGTTCAGAAATCCTTCACCATAAAGAATATGCATATCACAATGTGGATAGTACAAAACTTCGTCGCACTTATCTTGATTCACAACAATCGACAATATTTCTCATTTATAAAGGAAATCAAGATCTGACAAGGTGGAGGGGATGGGGTGGGCCAATAGTAATTTGGGTGAGCAGTCTGGTTTCTCTTTGACCTGCCAGGCAAAACTGTATCATGCATACTGCTTTAGATGTAATCGGTATCGATTGAAAGCCGAATGAAATTATGTCAGTGTATTTCTCTCTTCACAAATGAACTTGAACAGACTCAGAATACGACTCGGTTCTATCGGAGAATGACGTTGTATTCTGTGTTTCCGCCTCTTTAAAAAGCCTTACAGGGTTTTAGGGAGGTGTTATGCCAATGTAATTTCGCACTTATGTTTTCAGATCATGACTTGCCTTACTTTCGCGTTATTACCTAGTACTTTCTTAGCAGCTATGCCATAGCGACAGGTGATTCGGGGGAGAAAAGCATTATAGCAATAACAATTTGCAATAACCGTACCTGCATAGACAACCACTAAAACACCATCACGACCAATGCCAACAATGCTCAATACTTCAGACGTCCTTATACCCCGTGGAAAGGCTGTGGGTGTGGTTTAATTAAGCAACTCAAATCATCCTTTTTGGGGGGATACATTTTTAATGGATTATAGTTTCTAGCCAATCTCCACTGTGTTGGAACAAAACATTTGATATTTCCGTGTGCTTGGACATGTCCTCACATGTTTGGAAAGTTCAATCGTAGTCTAATAGCCCTTTCAATGAACACAGTGTTATTAAGAAAACTGTAACACTTAGTCAAATATTTTAAAAATGCATTTCAGACAAAGTAAGACGATTTAACTATGAAACACGTGGTTTTACATGCACGTGCCTTTAAGTAAAACTTCTTTCTCGCAGAATTGCTTAAAAAAACACCCAGTAGCAACAAAAAACACAAACGAAAGCAACAAAGAAATGAACAAATCCAGTCCATTCTTGAGTCATACACGTTTTCCTTAGTTCGTTTAATTGTTGAAGTATAATATTATTCAGGCATATTATTTTAATGCTAAACAGTACTCTTGAATATTTTAAAATATTTTGTTTCAGAAGAGGCAGAGACGTACTTGTCCACCTTTGAAAAATCCATCTTTTATGAAACAAATTATTACAGACGCTGTAAAAAGTTTAATAGGTACATAGCGGTGAAATTTGAAGTATGAAGTCTGAATCATGTACGTGATATGAGAGCAGTGACGTCTCTTAATAACATTTTATAACAGTTATTATACTGTTAGCGCTTTGGGGACGCACATTCTGCACTTTTTGGAGCACATTCAAAAGAAGCATAAAGAAGACGTAATATTTTGAAATTATAATTGCTAATTTGTGTCACTGATTTGTGTTTGATGACTGGAATAAATGTACTACAACATTGAATTTATCGGGCATATACACAATGTATGTACACAACGTCCTTAAAGAGTACGTCCTGAAAGAGTTACGCTATTCTTTAACTGGTTTTGCACCTGCTAATGCTTTCAAACTTTATTTCTTTCAGCTGCGATGCTCTGTCCTTGTAAACAATGAGAACTGACTAAGAAAACGACCTGTGACTAACTAGAGCTGGAAACAGTTTCATCTCCATGTCTTGGAACATGTCAAGCTCTTCTATATGCAGCCACAGATTTCTTACTCGAAAAGATAAAACATTCATCCGCAAATTCATCCCGATCTCTAGCTCTATCCTCTCCTAGACGAAGACCTGCCCCCATTTGAATTAGGCACGGCTCCTCTTATGGATGGAGGCATTCCCATCATGGAAGAAGCCATCCCTCCTCTCATCATACTAATAGGATTCATCCTTCCCATCCCTCCCCTCCCCCCCATCCCTCCCATTCCTCCCATTCCTCCCATTCCTCCCATTCCTCCCATTCCTCCCCTGACTCCCCTCCCTCCAACTCCCCCCACCCTTCCCATTCTTCCCATTCCTCCTATCCCCCCCATTCCTCCCATCCTTCCCATTCCTCCAATAGCTCCCATATTTCCCATTCGTCCCATCCCCCCTCGTCCCATCATAGACGTCATCCCACCCCCTGCCATACCTGGGAATCCCCCGAACCCTCCCATACCACCCCTAGAAATTGGCCCTCTCATACCAGGAAACCCTGAACCCATCATGGTGTTGGAAGAAGATGGGAAACCTCCTCGACCCATCGACATGAAAGGATTCATCCTGTTGTTACTTCTCAGGAAGGGATTCATCATAGACGACATGGGAGAGGATGTTGTCGACGATGACCCAAAATTACCCATAGAACCCGAGAAAGGATTCATCATACCTCCTCCCATTCCTGAAAAAGCGGAGCCAGCATTACCGCCGAAACCCATATCCATCCGAGATAGACTTGATCCTATCCCCCCCATTGGATTGAATTCGTCAGACGAGTCGGATAAACCCTGAGGCCCGCCCATGACCGATGGCCCAGGAAACTGACCGCCAGTCCTAGAGAAAGGGGATTCCCCTCCGCCCCCTTCGCCATTTTGAGATATTTGTCTCATCATCATCATCCTCATCATCATTCTCATTCTGTCCGGAGAGCTACCGTTTCCCTGTTGGAATCTCCCACCAAAAGACATCTGAGGTCCAAACCTGCTACCTCCGATCTGACCTTGTTGCTGGTTCATTATAGGATTTCCTTGCATTGACATCATGTTCATGGGTTGTCCAAAGTTAGACTGAGATATAGAGTTCCCTGGTCCGTTCATGTCGGGCATCATTGCTTGGTTTGATCTCATACCCCTTGAGGAAAACCCTCCAAGACCTGGTGGGCTCCCTGAAGGAAAGGCATTTTGGGGGAATGAACCCCCACTTCGAGGCCCCATAGGCATTCCGGGCATGGGGATACGACTTCCGCTAGAATTAAAGGCTCCTGGTGGTGAAGGCATCGGAAACGGAGACCCCCCCTGCCTACCCACTGAATTGGCACCCCCGCCAGGGCCACTACTACCGCCACTGAAACCTCCTCGTTGCTGATTTGTGAACTGGGAAGTCATTTGTCGGTTTCTCATCATCTGCCTCATAATCTCTGGATTGAGACCACCGGGTGGCATAGAGCCTGGACTACCACGCCCACTTCCCCCCTGTCCCATTGGCATATTGCTTGATCCATGTTGCACGGGCATCCGTGGTTGCATGAAGGAGTTCTGAGGTCCCTGAGGCCTGTTGCCAAACCCTCCACTGCCTGGGAAGGAACTCTGGGGACCGGAAGAGCTGTGAAAGCCTGGAGGGGGCTGACCTGCTCCTGCAGAGAAACTACTAGAGAAAGGAGAAGGACTGCCGCTAGGGGGAATAAAGGAACCGAAAGGGCTCTGACCTCCCATCCCACCCCTCATTTGACCTCCCATCCCACCCCTCATTTGACCTCCCATTCGACCACCCATCGAACCACCCGTCGGACCTCCAGGACTTCCAAAAGGCATCTGACCACCCCGACCACCACCCAAGAAGGGTGGCATACCACTAGGAGGACCTCCAGGAAATCCAGACTGACTTTGACCCACGGGAGGCGACATCCTGCCAGGTGCTCCGGGAAAAGCCATCTGTGGGGGCATGGCCCAGGACGGGCGTGACATGCCGGACAGATTAGGAGGTCCGTCGTTATTTGATGGAGGAGAGGAACCTCCGGGGATCTGACGCCGATACCGACTAGAACGACTTTTTCCGATTCGATTCTCACGTTTCACGTCACTTCTATCCTCAACATTCGGTCCAACTTCAAGTTTCTGCAGTCTATTCAGCAATGACCTCATTTGTTCTTTTTGATTGAAATCACCGCTTGTTTTTCGAGTATATCTAATACCGTTGTCTGAACTGTTCTGACCAAGCATTGCTTTCTTTAGCGTATTATCGTTTGTTTCATTATTGATCGTGGCAAACGCTATTGTAACATTTTCTTCCCCAGAAGTAGCGGAAATCGTCTTGGATATATTGTTGATCTCATCAAAACTGTTATTGGGTTTTGCGCTACCGTTTGCATGTGACTTTTGATTGCTGTCAGACATGTTTTGTTCTTGTATTATGGTGTCATTTAGGACGAAAATTTCTTCAGGTATTCCAGCCATATTTGAACCAATCTCTTTGACAGAATTAGGTAAATTAGTATTTCTGTTGCCAAAAGTTTCAGCAGAATTAGGTACATTTGTATTTTTCCGCCTGTTAGTTTCAAGTCTGTGGGTCTTGAATATTTCACGATTGTACTGTACTGCTTGGATGTTTAAGACCCCTGTGTCTAGTGCTCTCCCTCCCATCAATAAAAACATGGACAACAGATCGTTCATTGACGTAAGATCTGACTGAATCCGGCGTCCGGTGGAAGCGCCCACAGATCGTCTGCTTTCTGACGGGACTGTGTGGAGACTGTCCAACTGACTGAGTACAGCTGCAAAGTGGCCATCTTGGCCTGGGTCGTATACAGGACGATGGCGCTTGTAGCTCTGAGTGGTTGGTTTCTGAAACTCAACTAAATTCCTGCTGCCAAAGCCACCAATCCTGTCGATGGATGCATCGTCAGCGTTCAAGTCTCCATAACCTGTATAGAAATGTAAAACGGCCCTCTTAATCACATTAGAGGGAAATATATAAATATAT